GGCTACAGGTGAAAAAACACATAATATCTGTCTTCTCTTAAATGCATTAAACACTATTCCAATCACATCAATTGAATCGGAAAGGGCATTCTCAGTGGCAAGACTTTTCATTACTAAAATAAGAATTAGAGTGAGTGATCGGAGTATTGACTATCTTTGCTTTTTAAAATCTTATAAAAGTTTGCAATATTTTGTATTATATTTTATTTAAAAAACGAAAATTACCTTCTAAATTAGAAGTTCATTTTTTTNCTTTTGCTATCGAAACGTCAAACACAATGATTGACAAAACTCCAAAAAATACAACTGTAGTGGCTGCTGCTCAGTTTCATCCCTCTCTTTAGATGTGAAATGTTTTTAACTGTTAAACTTTTTGGTGTGTTATGTATCCGAGTCATCTTACTGGGTTTAAGGATATTAAAGAATTCTTAATACAATAATTTATTAAAATTGCATTAGATTTTTATCTAATATGTGGGTGCTAATAGATCCTGTTCTTGTACACGTTCCGGGCTTATCGAGGCTCTCAATGAGATATATAAGGGGTGTGTGATGCAAGTTTAACCTGTCCAGCTTGTATTATCTATGTTAAAATTTTTGAAGTATTGATCCTGGCCTGATACTCAAATCCAGTGTTCTTTTAGAATGCCTTTTAGTAATCCAGACACAAATTATATGAAACAAATAATAATTAATACAAGCCTGAAAGTATGGAAATATTCAAAATCTCAGTGCACAGCCAGCATCTCTCAGCACCTCCGTTCAAGATCTCGGGCAGTGGTTGCTGCAAGCATCTTTTTCGGTGCTCGATACACCAGCAAACAAGATGGCAGCCACCACGAGGCTTGTAAGAGCTCTACTTTGCATTGACAATTTTGAATTTAATTAATTCGTTGATGAATAAACCCCGAGTAAATTGAAATTAGGTTAGTACGTTAATAGAATATTTTAATATACGTTGTTCATAAAAGAGTATCATGTTATGATATGTGGTATTCTTTTATGATGTTAGTGATGTAATTTTATAAAATAGAGATCTGGCCAGATTGTAAACAGCAGTTAATCATCACAAAAATACTAAGATAGGTAACACGCTAAGCAAAGTATTTTATATTAAAAGTAAACCTTTAATGAAATTTTTCTCTACTTAGACAGACGAAGGAGTCGTTCTCGATCCAGAGAAAGAGACAGAGATAGGGACAGAAGACGAGGTAAATTGTATTATTATTATTTTGAATTTCTTGATAAATATTCATGAAAAAATCTCTTGTTGACTCATCAATTCTTATAAGTATTTCACATGTTTGCTGCCCACACAGGGATCGACATGCTTGACTGTGTGCCGAAAATTTTTTTTTTGTTATGCCTGCTTGTTATATGTGTGTTTTAAAATGTTGAAGAAATTATATAAAATATACAATACATACAATAAAATTATACAAATTAAACAATATTAAAAATATACAATAAACAATAAAAATTACTTTTCCTAAAAACAAACAATAAAATTTTCCATGTGAGAGAAATGGCAAAGTTTTACAATGCTTGCAGGAGAGTTTGGCACATGCGGTGTTGCATTGTAGACTGCTCCGAGGCATCACTGATGGCGAATGCGTTAAGGATCCAATAGATTATGCACGCATCTTTAATTTGAGATTTTGTATCAAGTGACACACAATTAGTTTTGGACATTTTCAACAATATGAACACAGAATAAAAATGAATGAAGAAAATTCCATGTTAGTATCATTATCATTAAGGGTTATTTGTTAAACTAATCCTTTTTTAATTAACAGATTATCATACATAAGAGAAATAATACTTTAATGGTGAAATATTTATGTTCAAAACATTTTTAATAAGTCATCTTTAAGTTACATATTAAAAGAAAACAACGAAAGAATAATATAAAGAATCAAATGTATTCTAAACATTTGGATAAGAATGCCTATTAAAATGTTTATAGTGTTTGATTCTATTCTTACTGTAAAGAAATTGCTTGTAACAACAATATTTTTTAAATGTAAATTCATATTTTAGATGAAAGGTATTTATGATTTGTGAGTTAAAAGTTACTTAAAATAAAAAAGAAAAGCCAAATTAGAAATGTTTCATGTTATGCTCTGAGAATAAATGTTAAAGATTTGGCGCGAGTGATTTATTTTGTCTTAAAATTATATTTTCTAACATATTTAAAGAATTAAATTAGGATAATGCCTTGTAAGATATTTAAGATATTAAATATGTCACTTATAAGTGAAAACATGAAAGTCAGTCAAGTGAAGATCTTGAAATAAATTCTTAGACTTTGTTTCCTGTCTTTGCATTACTTTTTGACACAGTACCCCCATTGCATTCTATACATTTTCTCTAGCATTTTACTAGAATTTCTATCAGTGGTCCAAAAATATCATCACTTAGTCTGGTGCTTACCAAAGCATACTCATGGGATATGAAGATTTAGAAGTAGGTGGCAATTTTTGGCCATGTGCCACCAGTATGTACAATCAGTATTAAGAAAATATGCTATAGTAACAAATTACATTAAATGTATTTAATTTATTGAAAAATATATAATTTATATGACTTCTATTCAAGCTTTAAGTGCTGCATTTGGGTGGTTTGTAAAAGAATTTTTTTTTTATGTCGAAACTTTCGGAAATATTGTCTTAGACTATTGTAATTTTGGACTACTGAAGGAAGCATTTGGAATGAGAAAGTTCTGTTCTGATGAGGAAATCAGAGGAGTAAGAATGAAGCTTTACATTTATCTGATGGACTTTTTCACAGAAAACCCAGTAATCGCTGAAGAGGAGCATAGAAAATAGCAGTTGTGTTGAAAATGTGATGCAAGTATAGGAAACATACTGCAGTAAAGAAAGTAACAGTTACTTTAAAGTTTTTATTTAACCAATTTTTTTATTCATAGGCTGTTTGCGATGTAATATTTTATGTTACAACAGTGTACAAAACTCAATTTATATATATTACATTATTGATCCTTAAATATACAATAAGTGCTTCTTTTGTATCTTTTTATATACTTAACAAACATTATTAAAAGTTTTTTATTTATAGAAAACTTGAAAATTATAAATTAAATTTTTGTTTTTTATAATATAGACAGACACAGAAGTCGATCAAGATCACTCTCACCTAGGGGACGTTCTCCTCGCAGACACAGAAGCAGGTAATTATAACAATAAAAATTAGCAAAGTTTAAGAAAATCTGTAAAGTTAAATTTGAAAGAGATTTTTAATATTAAAAGCCATAAAGAAGTTTAAATTTTGAGTTAATATTATACATTTGTAACTCAAAAATCACGTTGAAAGTCATGTTTTAATTCTTTTCAGTATTATATATATAGATTGTTAATGTTTTAAGGGTATTAAAATGGCTTTTATTTTGCCCATTATGGGCTTAATCAAGTTTGCATTGGAGTTACGGGTGGTGTGAATGAGATCCATCTGATTTATATGGAACAAATCACTCAAAAATTTATGAGGCTTCAACATAGGTCCAAAGTTGCCAGAGTGACAGACTTCACTGTTGTTCAGCTTTTCCATGTGTATGAGGGTCATTTTTATAAGAAATGCATGCTAATTCTTTGAATACATATTTAAAATGTCATATGTTGTTTTCTATTTTTTAATGATGATGATCTAATGGTCCACAGTTCCAGTCAGGTTTCCTGTTTGGTTCTGCTGTTGGATACTATGTAACTGCTGCAGAAAGGTCCTCTGGAAAAGAAAACTTTCTATCTATAAATGGATAATTTGAGCTTGAGTCAGTCTGATGGACTCATATGTAAACTGTAGGGCACATAAAGTAACAGTACCAAGTTCACCTACAAATCTGTCATCATTTTTTGCCATGTATAGGTATGAATTGTTGTTCAGCATGAGCGAACTATCTTTGAGTAAGTCAGGTTAGTTGTCATGCATTTGTCTTTATAATTTTTGTCCTAAATTATATTAACAGGCTGCTGTGACATTTGTTCCATACAGTATTCTATCTGATTTGAAGATCAATGTAATGCCAAGGTGAAGATCAACGCCATTGATGTTTTTGGCCTCTCTGACTGCAGTTCTTGTTTATGCTACACATTCTTTACAGAATGAATAGTACAGTGAAAACTACTCAGTTTACTCTGATTGCCTCAAGTAAAGCACTGTGATGTCTGTTGGATTTTTGTTACAGTAAGTCTTGGTCTCAAGATATGACCATTGATCTTCACGCATCACTACCTAAGGTTTCTGCATGGACCATTTCTAACACTTGTCAATCTATAAATCCACACATTTCAAAAGTAGCAAAGCCACACCCCACTTCCTCTAGCCTCAGGCTGCAACTATAACTAGCTCATCATGGAGGTTGTATTATCCTTTTTGCAACACTGCCACATTGTGCATTTCTTATGAAATGACCCTTATTATTTATATATTTACTTTAACGAGGATATTGTATCATTGATTATTAAGTCTCTATCTATTTATGATTATAATTAAAGTGTATATCCATATTAATACGAACCAGTTTAATGAATTGTTCAGATCAGTTTCGTTTAATTGAATCAGTTAACTTTTAAGTTAAAATTACTTTTTGCTACATTAGATTTTGTACTGTTCTAAAAAGGTTCGTAAGTACCAAATAGCTTTCTTAAAGTTGTAGTTTGTAAAATAAAATCGTGCAATACAATTTTACTAAAATATTTCTATCATTAGGTCTCCCAGAAGAAGATCATGGTCTAGATCACCGAGAAGAAAGATGAGGTATGTATTTAATGACAATTTTTATTGAAGACTGTGTATGCATGTATGACATGCATTTTGTAGGTGTATGATTATTGTTTAACTTGAACTTCGACTTTAACGAGGCACTTTATCATAAAGCAATTTTTAAATGGGCTTTTGTAAGTTTAAAAAAGTATAGATGTGTTATAAACGCATTGAGAAGTAACATTGTAGTAGTTTTATGTGACAAAATACAAAATATTTCTGTTTTAGCATTCCTGTAAAATGCGCATTATGTCCGTGAGTCTGTTATCTTTTGATATGTTATTTTATATTTATTTTAAACATGTTACATAGATTAATTTCATGTAGAACATTTTAAATTCATTTGTAATTACACATACAGAATTTTTAGAAAATTTGTGGCTTATGTAGACTTAAATAAGTGTTTTTAAATGACATTAAAAATATGTTGAACTACTTTTGTTCATTCTAAACCAGCTAATTTTATTGTTGTATTGATTATTTTCTGTTTATATTAGGAAAATAATAAATGATAAGTTACTAAAAAAGTAAGTAAAATTTTTTTAATTAACAGATTATCATCATAGGAAACTATCACAGTTTAGTTTGTTCTGTAATAAGAAATTTTGATAATTATTGATTATTATTTTAGGCAATTAAATCTATTCTATGTACACTCAAATCCTGTTTATTGCACTGAGAAAAATATTGTATATAAGTGAGAAAAATGTATAAGTGAAACTACTTTTGAATTGATTTTCAGGGTGAATATATTTCTTGCAAAAGTATGGCATGGTGTAAATTAACACTGTACAGCTGAATTTGTACTCTAAAAGCACAATATACTGTATGTACTCAAGTCATAACAAAACTTAATAAATAGACCAGTTTTTAATTATGTATTACATTCATTCTGATGACATAAACCTATTAACTTGTATGACCCTCATCCCCAGTTAGTCTGACTTAGCAGAAATCAACTGTGGCTGCAAATGAGAGGTCTTGCATCTTATTTAAAAATCTATGCACACAATATATTTACCAATAGGAATATTTTAAACATTTGCATCATAATCTTTTACTACAGGTACCAAGTTGCATCTTAAAAATGTAAAAAGGTTGTGCTACATACATTTTAAAGTGTCCTTGTGGGTGTTTGTGAAGTCTTGGCGCATATGTTTTAACCTAACATTATTGCAATAGGCTTGCAAAACATGCTGTAAAAGCATTTATAGTGCTAGAAATTATTTTGTTAAATAAAAAAGAAAAAGATGAATAAATTAAGTATTAATTGTGAAAAGTTTGTCTATAGAANTTTTTTTTTTTTTTTTTTTTTTTTTTTTTTTTTTTTTTTTTTTTTTTTTTTTTTTTTTTTTTTTTTTTTTTTTTTTTTTTTTTTTTTTTTTTTTTTTTTTTTTTTTTTTTTTTTTTTTTTTTTTTTTTTTTTTTTTTTTTTTTTTTTTTTTTTTTTTTTTTTTTTTTTTTTTTTTTTTTTTTTTTTTGTATTTCTTTCCATAACCTGTAATTAAAACTAGACATTAATAATTATAACATTTGTTAATCTTAGATAAAGATTTAGAGGGTAAGACTGAAGAAGAACAAGATATGATAAGAATGATGGGGTTTTCAAGTTTTGATTCAACAAAAGTAAGATGATATAATAATAATTATATTATAGTTTTATCTGCACATACACCCAAAAAAAAACTATAAATACAGACCATGGTGACCAAACTGCAGCTTATCTAGACCCTTATTGAGACTCTTGTATAGTTATACAATATTTCATGTGTATAAGTAGCATGTTTCAAGTTTATAAAATGAAATTGTATAACTATATAGAGGCTACAATAAGGGTCTAGAAGAGCTGCAGTTTGGCTATTGTGGACCTATGACTCTCAATTCACACACATCCATTTATGTAAGTGTGCCCACCAGCCACCGATAGGATAAAACCACTGAATGCTAATTTACTTTCTCACCACACTGGGTTGTATATACTTCAAATACACAATGATCTATAATTAACCAATAACTGGCGTGAAATTCTTCAAAAAATTAGCGAACGTTTTTGATTCCCCTCCTGGGATCTTCTTCAGGCTTATTTTATATCTTCTGTTATAACTGGATTCTTTAATTCGAATGTTTTTTAAAAATTTGAAATGTGACCTTTTTCTGACAATTAAAACAGAACACTTGTTATCACATTTTAAACTTCTTTATAGTTTGTTGTATAATGCCCAACTGATGTGTAGTTGTCATTCCTAACATTTGCTGATCAGTTGTAATAACTACTTACTACAGGAATAGTTGTATATGTCAAAACATGACAGACATCTTATGAATTATCTCATAGATGGCACTTGTTGTTCGATTGGCAACAATGAGATGATTTGTCACATTTAAAATTTTTAAAAAACATTCAAATTAAAGAATCCAGTTATAATGGAAGATATAAAATAAGTCTGAAGAAGATCCCAGGAGGGAAATCGAAAATGTTTGCCGATTTTTTGAAGAATTTTACGCCAGTTATTGGTTAATTATAGATTGTTGTGTATTTGAAGTACACTGAATGCTAGTAGTCATCATGGGTTCATACCTCACCCTGGGCTGGTTATGGAAGTTTTCTTTGCTTAACATTAAATAGGGACCAGTTTTTTGAAAAAAGTCCTTCTGGGAAGCACTCCATTGGCAGATAGCCCAAATGTCACATTATCTTATTCCATCAATTCATTTATATAAGTGATCCTTAACCTAGGCAGAATGCATGTATCTCTCTGCTGGAGTTGCAAGATCATAATAAAATATACTAATAACAAATTCAAGTACATGATTAGGGATTTTTAAATAATCTAGAAGTAAATTATTTTAAATTGGTGAATGAGTGCAAAGGAATTTTTTTTTTTCTTTAATTGCTTAATTACACCACAATTCTTGTACCTGGTGCTCTTATGTCTGGCACTTTTGTAGCATATACATGATCCTTGACATGCCAACAAAGAAGAAAAGTTCAGAGAGTTGATGTCACATGATCAGGCAGACTGAGAAATGGGGCCCTTGCAATATACACTATATGACTGGAGATTCAGATTGCCATTATGTGGCAGTAGCGGCCCTTCAAGTATATGCACACTAGGGTTTCTCAAACGGGATTCCGGGATCCCTGTTGTTTTTTTTGATCCTGGCCTGATACTCAAATCCAGTGTTCTAAATTTCTTAAAAATTCACTTTTTTTCTTATTTTGTGTTAAGGTTGAGGAATTTTGCAAATAGAAAGCATAATTAACTCATTCACTGTCAGAATACATTTGTATTTATTAATTTTAAACGTACCTATTAATTTTTTTTAAAATTTTTACTCGTTATAGCATGTCACAAATGGTCAATAATCAATATATAGTTTATTTGTGGCAGGACTATAAAAATTCTTTACTTGTCGTGACCTGTAATATCTGGAATAATTGTGCTTACGCTGTCTTGAGTTTTAACTGTGCCCGGTAGCTTCAATAAATGCCTGACGCCAGATTGTGCAAATTGGGCAAGGATACAAACGAGTACAAAGTCTGCAAGTATGAAGTTTTTCTTCATAAACCTGATTATTAAAGCCAAATGAATTGCCGAATTATCGGGCTCTAAGCTTTGATGCCGCTATTAAAGCAGCCAAGGTAGACAAATCAAGAATACTAGAGAGCGAAAGAAGTACTACCAATCTCGAAAACGAACTCGAAATCTTCCAGGCTACAGGTGAAAAAACACATAATATCTGTCTTCTCTTAAATGCACTAAACACTATTCCAATCACATCAGTTGAATCGGAAAGGGCATTCTCAGTGGCAAGACTTTTCATTACTAAAATAAGAATTAGAGTGAGTGATCGGAGTATTGACTATCTTTGCTTTTTAAAATCTTATAAAAGTTTGCAATATTTTGTGTTATATTTTATTTAAAAAACGAAAATTACCTTCTAAATTAGAAGTTCATTTTTTTTAATTTTTAACTCAATTCAAAACATTTTTTTTGTTGTTGTTGTATGCAGTTCCCAGCAAACTTTAATTAATCTTTTTCTATTTGTGAAAATTTCTACGTTATTTAAAGGTAATTTTTATTATAGGCCTATAGACCTTACACAGCTTTATTAATATGATTTTGGAGGTTACAGAACTTTAAAATTACTTTAAAAAATGGTAAATAATTATATCATTTGATTTCAAGATATTTTGTATATCTTAGAAATAATTAATTCTATCCCGGGATCCCGGGAAACAGTTTACTTTTATCCCGGGATCCCGGGACAAGCAAAAGACCGGGAAATGAGAAACCCTAATGCACACTAAACTTACAGTATTGACTAACATTCTCCAGTATATTTTATTCATTTATCTGAACAAATGGATTTTACAGAACAGTTTAAAACTAGGGCTGTTTGAGGAGAACATCCTGTATTTTCTTTAATTGAATTTAGTTCAGTTTTATTTTTAACACATTGACTACCAACTACAAATCATCTCATTGTTGGCAATCGAACAACAAGTGCCATCTATGAGATAATTCATAAGATGTCTGTCATGTTTTGACATATACAACTATTCCTGTAGTAAGTAGTGAATATTATAACTGATCAGTGAATGTCATTCCTAACGAATGACAACTACACATTAACATTATACAACAAACTATAAAGAAGTTTAAAATATGATAACAAGTGTTCTGTTTTAATTGCCAGATATGAATATTTTCATAGTAAATATACTAGCAAAATGACTAATTTGTACCTGGAATATGAATGGGAAATTAATTTGGTGTCATTAAAAGGAAAGGCTTATTGAAAAAATATTGAAAAACATTAAAAAATAAAAAAAATCTTATTTATTTATAATGCTTGATTTTCTTATTATTTCCTTCAATTTTTTTTTCTTTTTTAGAATGAATTCTAATTTTGTGCATTGATTTGCTTCTCTTACATCTTGTAGATTCACATGAGCTGATTTTTATTATTTTTTTTTTGTATTGGATGAATCTTGTGCTGCTCGAGACTTCTTCATATGAAACTTTTGCTTTTTTTTTCCCTCTTTATCTGTAAATCTTCTCTTAGTGGAGTTTATTAATTCTTAATTTTAATATTGATACTTGAAATTTTCAAACTGAAGAGGAATTCTGTGCAAGTAAATTAAGAACACACATTTTTGTAATTTACTGTGGACACATTTTACAAATTAATGTATTAACTGTTTATTTTCATTATAAAACTCTTTTAAATTATAAAATTTTAATGGATATAAAATGAGATTTAATAAAATTCCTAAAAAAATATATACAGTAGTTATATTTTTATGTCTAATGGAAATTAAGCTTGCTAACATATTTATTTTTGTTTTAGGGGAAACATGTGAAAGGTAATGGCATTTACAGTGTTCACATCATCCACAAGAGAAAATACAGGTAAATTTGCATTTAAATAATTTTCAATGGAAACAAATTTTTAAAATGAAATATTTAATTAGTTATTTAATTATCTGTGATTTGTGTTATAGACAATACATGAACAGAAAGGGAGGATTCAACAGACCTCTGGATTTTGTTGCTTGAATTCAAATTTTTCTGAAAGGAATGAACTTTTTGTGTAAAATGTAAGTCCCGTTTGTTACATTATGAATCCCATTTTTTCAGAGTAACATCAGATATTCTGTAGATTTTATGGGAGTCATTCAAAAAGTTTCTGAATAATGTAAATAGAAAGACAGCAAATTGAACTTAGAAATTTATTTTTCAACATATTGTATACATTTCACTTAAGTTAAAATATCTTTTCATATTGTGTTGTTACTCTTCTAAACTCTCAGAAAAAATTTGTGCTTTTTGACTCTACAAATCCAAAACATTTCACTTGATACATTGACTGCCAACAAATGTCTTTAATATCTTTTTTTTTTAATTTGGGAATAAAAAAATCTCCGAGGAAGGCTAGAGATCGGGACTGTAGGAAGGGTGTGGTAAAATCTCCCATGTGTATTCATGCAGTATTATCCTTGTAGAGCTTGTAGAATGCACTTCAAATTTGACTGAATCCATGTTTGCTGATGCAAGAGTAATTTTGAATTGATGTAATACCAGGTGTAAGTATAGTGCATTGCTGTCACAAATACCTGATAAAACAAGTCTTGATAAGTTTACACCTTGCATCAATGAATTATAAATACCCATATAGCATTCTGTTTATGAATAATAACCATTTTCTGGGATTTTATATTCAAAGTTGGATATCAATATACTATAATTTAAAGCTGATAAAGTGAATATTATTGGTTTTAATCCTGTAATATTGTCTTAAAATAATTTAATGCTTTATTTTGATTATTGTAATCTAACTTTTATTGTTAGTAATGAAAAAAAATTTTTTTTGTATATTTTTATATTTGAGGAAACTAAATTATTACTTTATAAAATTTTGGTTAGGATGAAGAAAAGACTATTACTCTGACAACTTGTCATAAGTTAAATTTTAAAAATAAGAACAAAACTGTATAAGCTATCAAGTTAGGAATATAAATATAGAAATATCCCACTTGAAGACGGAATGGTAAGTTTCTCTATTCCACACAGCAATTTATAATGTGTACCGTAATTATCTAAATAAATTTGTTATATCACAGAATGTGCAAATCGTAAAGGAGCAGCATTAATTGTAGTCAAACTTTGTATTCATTTGTATGTTTCATTCTAAAGAATAACGACAATCTTTGTAATGAGTGAAATAGTATAGAAAAAATATTTATATATTGTTTCGGTTTCGGCAAAATCCTGTCATTACAATAAAAATCTATCAATTTCTGAGTGTGTGACTGTTTTGCTAATCTGTTTGATTAATAAACAATTATACAGTAACCTAATTAAAATGAATTGTATTTAGTCAAGTTTGATCAGTATGTAGAAAGAGTATTTCAGGAGAGAACAATTTATATTACACAGCATCTTCCAAAAAGAATGCTACCATTTTAAATTACTGTAAATTATGTTAATTATTATCTGAGAAGTACACTGTACACCAATTGATAAATAACTGTCAGAGTTTTATTTCCCACATGCACTAAAATGTTATTGTCTACTACCTCTAGGAATCATTGTAGATGAAAATGGTGACTCATCAACACAGATGTTTTATGTTCTTCAATTCACAAATTCAGACTTGTCATTAAAAAAACTAGGAGTTCTGCATCTTTGTGTCATATGCAAGAAAACTGATCACAGGTATTTATTTACGTATTTAGAGAGAGAATATGAGTGCGTCAAGTCAGTTTGTTTGTGTGGTTCTAGTACCTATATTACACAAGTTACATTATGCATCGGAAGATGTATATAGGCCTATAGCTTTTATCGGTATATTTATGTACAGTAGACCCCCTATAATACTGTTGATAATTCCATATTATATGGATTTCATGTTGTACGAGTCACTTAGATTTTACAAATATGTGTGCCGGGCTGTGAACGGCTCACGTATTTGTAAAATCTAAGTGACCCGTACAACATGGAATTCATATAATACGGAATTATCAAGTGTTATAGGGGGTCTACTGTATTGTATATTTATTGCAATTTACCTCTATTTTATTAAGAATGGAATAATTAAGAAATTATTTATACAATTACGATAAGCCTTGTAAAATGGCAAGTTCGACTTAAAGATCACACGCACGAAAAGTAATTTGCATGATGAAATACTGTACTTTGAAAATGATTAGGCGTAAATATTCACCTCTGTTACAGGCACGTTATATGGGGGTTGATTAAGGCATGGGTTTGTCACCGCTTTGGCACACTTTGTGGACCTGACCAAACCCACAATGGTTTTGATTAAAATATCCTCATGGGTTTTTTAGTCAAGACAATGCAATGCAAACGATAAGCCAAATGTGTTCTACGATTTATTTCCGATGGCTAAATTACAGAAAACACGTCTTTGTTGCTGACTCCTCATTGGCATCTTGCCCGATTCTTCTGATTCTCTTCTGCACACGCTCGAATATACGAAGGTATTTTGTTGAGATTTTTGACAGGAATACTTCTTACAAATCGTCCAAAATCTCTCGATATGTCCGGCCTGGGGCATGTTAGGGTCAGCTTCAGTTTTGCAACTGCAGTGGTGATTTAAAGAGTTAGAGTTTACTGACCTCAAACCTTCATTTTGTCAGTCATTATCTTAGGTGTTTGATCTGACAGAGGCTTGAAACTTCCATCTCCATCTTCCTGTCTTAAAATATTATTGCTTTATTTGTGGACGATTCATAAAGGAGAGTGTCTATTTTCTGTTCATTTCGATTGGAAATTCTGTAATATATTATGTACACGACAAGCTACAAAATAAAACCTACATTTTCATCTCTAATTTTCCCATTTAGTTACATTAGGTCTCATTGCATTTGCCGATTTTGAATGTGAACCTATTCAGGTTAAAGTGCATTAACTTTGTCGCTTCTGTTATTTAAAACATGAAGAGGAGAAACTAATAGAACATATCTTTGTTTCTGTGATTAAATTAAGGTAAGTTAAAAAATTGGCTTTACGAAGAGTTCTAAAAGGAGTATCTAAATTTTCACCAATAAATCGAAATAATGGAAAACAATTTGGGTTTCCTCAACCCAAAATTCAACGGGGCAACCACAGGTTCGCGCCTGGTCACGTGGCGTTTTCTGGCTTTACATGCTCAACTTCTAAATAGAGACCAGCTTCCCATAGAAAGTCTTCTCGGAAGACAGTTTTCTTGTGTGCGTTACCTCGTTCCATTAATCCAATCCTATACCTAAAAATCCTCAACAGATGAAAACCACACCAACTTTCTGCGGCGATTTGTCGAGGTCGAATGTGTGGTAGGATTTTACAATTATTATTTATTCGGAACACTTAAAACGGGAACAATCGCGTCATAGCCGATCGAGTTTGGCCGGATGGCCGAGCGGTTAAGGTGGCAGCTTACCGCTCTGGGGTATCCGGAATCGATCCCGAACGGGTCGAAAAATCCCCAAGAATTTTTCGGGAGTGGTCCGTCCCTCATCACCCGGCCGTCCCATAATGGGCCTGCTAAAAAGAGGCCCTCTTAGTACCCACAGAGCGGAAAGAGTTAAAAAAAACCGGCCTCCCACGGTCGAGAGACCATAAAGATCATAAACTGAAGCAATCCTTGCGAGCCGGACATCACACCATGTTGCAAAACTAATACTAAAAAATTACCATAGTTCTAAAAAAAGTAATAATAAAAATATTTAAAATATAAAACAAAATCTGAATATTAGTAAAAATAAATATGGCATATATATATATTTACGGAACCAAATATTCGTCCACCAGGTGGCACCAAGTGTAGTTTGATCAAGAGTCGTTTGGTGTCAAGATAAAAATGAAAATATTTATATTTTGACGACAGGAGAGGAATCGGCGCTCATAATTCGTTTCTGATAAATAAGTGGATATTTTGAATAATGAATTTAATAGAATTGAAATGGAAGGTGATACGATGACTTTGAATCTGTCTGGAACTGATGGGAAGAATCTGAATGCTTTGTTCATCATTAATGGCATCCGTTCCTCTCCATCCACTCTTTTAGTTGAAAATTTAAAGCTGGAGCTACCATTAGATAAGTTCGATTCCGAAACTGCTTCCAGGATCTTGCAAGATAATGGAGTGATTGATAATGATACATCAAGAGGGTAATTTTGAATGTTTTAACATAACTATATGTATTTTACATTCAAAATAATAATGAGCACGCAATAATGGTATACAGATTTGTGTATTAATGTGACGCGGCAAGAACTTGTCCGGGCGATGCCAGCTCTGGGTAGGATTAAATTGTGCGCCTGCATGCAGTGCTGAGAGTGAACGGGTGCAAAGTTTGCACCGTTTAGGCATCGATATTGTGCCCTAGACGTGCCAAAAGTTCTTGCGTGAATGAGGATAGAGCTGGTATTGCTATCGGACACCACTGGCACTCATCTAGAATGATACGTCATTTCTATATGGTCTTTCCTTGACATACAATGGGTTACGTTCCGAAAAACACATTATAAGTTAAAAATAAATAAATAAAAAATAGGCTATATGCAAGGTTATGTGGTATGTAACACGAGTTTGGGTTATCGTTGTTGTAATAATCCAAAAATCACAAGCAAATCACCATAACTACCATGTTTAGATATTATCTTAACTCTTTGAGATACAATGGGGCATTTTGCAGATGTAATGGATATACTATAAAATACAAGATACGAGGTATATATAAAAAAAGTCTCAAAAAGATCATTAATGCATCAGTAGAGCAACTTGAATTCAAATTCTAATCATTTTCCCATACTTCCACTTCGCTCACATCAGCCATTGTATGTTAAAACATTGCAAGTCAAGGAATGACTGAACAAATAAAACACCCAAATACAGTGGAACCCCGGTTAACGAACTTAATCCGTTCCGCGACTCCGTTCGTTAACCGAATTGTTCATTAACCGAAGCAATTTTTCCCATAGAAATTAATGCAAATGCAATTAATCCGTTCTTGTCTCCGAAATTTTTGTGATTTTATTTGTAATACACAGTAGATTTTTTTTGATGAAAATGTAAGAAAACGTAGTATAGTATCTATCATTACAGCAACAAACATGTAAACTTTATTTAATAAAATAGCACTGTACATACCTTCGTTTGTTGTAGTTGGTGGCAGAAAAGTGGAGATATACGAACCTTAATGCTTAGAAGGGGAATCCCCTCCAAAAAAATAACGGGTAGCACTTCATCGGAAGATTCTTCGAGTCGAAGTCTCTTTTGGTTAAGAAAGCCAACGAGTGGCTAAGTGGTCTTAGTACCCTGAACATGGGGAGTTCGTTCGTGGGTTCACATCTCGCTCAGACGCTTATTTAATAAAATAAGTGGCCACGTGGAGTTTTCCGGGTTTTCTCCACGTCTGTAACGCCTAAATAGGGGCCAGTTTCCCATAAAACACCCCAGAGCATTCCCCATAGGCAGATCACCCAAGTGTTGCATTGCCATAACTTAAATAACAAACGAACTCTTTCCGTAAGGAACAAGAAATTGATCTAAAGTTGATTGTCTTACTCTTTTAATCAAAATTTTTCTCAAATGCGATAGCACATTGTCGTTTTCTATTGCCACTATGACTTTTTTTTTTCTTGGATTATTGATTAAATATATAAATCACAAAACTGAAAAAAGAAGTACAGCACAAACACTCTGAAAAGCAATGCTTAACTCGCGCATGCCTAACACCAACTAAAATTTGACACAAAATACCGTTATGTTCGTTATCCGAATTTTGTTCATTATCCGAGACAAGATTTTTGCAAAATAAAAGTTTGTTTACCGATTTGTTCGTTAACCAGGACGTTCGTTAACTGGGGTTCCACTGTACCACTATTGATCCACAAATTCTTTATAAGATATGCCTCTTCGTAACTTGCTTTCTGCAGTGCTGAATGATTTGCAAAATGTGATGTAAATTTAAAATCAAAATAATTTGTAACAGTACCATAACTAATAACCTGTAACCAGTGATGACATTCGAAATATTTAACAAAGGGTTCGCTAACAGAAAATTTTTCCTTAACAATTTTTTTTTCGCTCAAATGGTGCATCGGAAGCCTCTAGTTTAGTAGTGTTACAGAGTATAATACGTATATTTTAATATTTTCAAAAGAATCAAACCATTGAGAAATGTTACATGTGTTTAACAAGGTTCTGAAAACTTTGAAAATGTTAACAACGGGTTCGGCCGAACCTGTGCGAACCCGCTGAATATCACCACTGCCTGTAACTAATAATTTGTAACAAAAGCCTAAAATTATAAGATTTAAGCTGCAAATGAGGATTTTTTTGACCCCCCAATGGTAGATCTGACTTGTACGAGCAGAAAAATCAAAGGAACCATCAAAGGAACCATATCCGTATGGATATGGTTCCTTTGATTTTTCCCTTTGCGAGATATTCACCTTCAAAAGGTCAGTTTTTAGCATGTATCAGTATATGGCCTATACTCCATGCTTCGCATCATTAAGGCTCATTATCGTTTACCTTGACTAACGTTCCACATGTAGTCATATGCTTTGGTGTAAGTGATAGTGAGCACGAGCACCTTGGCATCTGGGTGGGGGTGAGCCCCACACCCCCTAAAACTATATAACATCAAGTTCTCCAAGAACTGTCAAGTGGGCTACTCAAAAGCCAGCATAGTTGTGTGGGCTAAGTAGTTAAATGCTATAGTCTTAGTGGAGCAACATAACTTGTGATCTCACAAGATCCAATTTTGGGGGACTGTATGTTGCGAAGGATCACTTGTAGAGGTCTGTTTCTTTTCACTTTTTTGCTCCTATAGGTATGCTCTACAGCTGTGATAAGGTCTTAAATATCTCATTCAGAGCTTGAATTGAGCTTAAAACAGTGTTTATATGCTAATGTGACAGTGTGTTGCCAACACTAGATTATTTATTGATATATATTTAGATGTAGAGTAGGTACTGAATGATACACTATAACAAAATTAAACTATTTACTAAAATATTGTGCCTTATATAATATAGTAATAAGGTTACTCTTAACAAATGCTTGAGAGGAATATTTAAAAAAAGAGGATCAGTGTTTTTGGCTGAACTAGAAAGGACATAAAATTTTAAAGATTATAGTAGAGCATCGATTATCCAAATGTCGATTAACTGAAATGTCAATTAACCGAAAGCTTTCCAGTCGGCAAATTTAAATTTCCACTAGTGCTGTGGCGCTGCAATCTTTGGCTATGTCTTGGGCTGCTCCAATATTATTTTTCTTGGTGCCCGTGGTTTAGCTGTCAGCACTGACGTGACCATGAGAGGGTACTTAAGGACGTGTCATGATTTGAACGAATTTCAACACGGGATAGGTTAATATATTTTTTTGTACATAATTGGTTATCCAAAAAATTGATTTTCCGAACAACCCTAGTCCCCAATTGATTCGGATAATCAATGATTTACTATATTATTTTTAGAAGGTTTGCTCCTAGTTCCTTTCATGTTTTTGCTTGTATCCAGCCATACACACCTCTAGCAGGGTGTATGGCTGGATGGTCTACAACAAGCATGAAGATATATGAGGGTGGGTTTTTTCAACCTCTGATGGTCTAAAAAACAAAGACAAGTGTAAATAACAAAATTTATTACCAAAAGTTAGCTACAAACATGGTTACTTTTCAACATAATTACCGTAAAGATTGAGGCATTAGTCATATCTGTGGACGAGCTTTGCAATCCCCTGTTCATAGAATGTTGCCATCAGTGACTTGAGATGGGCCTTAATATTGTTTTGAAGGTCGTCATTAGCCTCGAATCTCTGTCTTCCTAGCCACTTTTTCAGTTCAGGGAAGATGTGGAAGTCTTCACACATTAAAGATGTGTGAAGACTTCCACCTTTCAAACATCCACCCAACTTGGAACTGTTTAAACACCCAGTGTATAGCCCTGATTTAGTGCCAAGCAACTTATATTTAGAGCAGTAATCAGGACCTCTGCTCCAAAGTCCTAGATTAAGGCATTCCATAACTTAATATACCAAGTTGTTAAATCTCTATTCTGTTTTTCATTTGAATGTCAGTCATTTCAACAGTGTGTTTATTTCATCAAAAAAAGTGACATTATGTTTATATATACAGTATTTATTCGTGTATAAGACGATTTTGCATGCAGGACGAGGTGTGACTTTAAGGATCAAAATAAAGAAAATTAGATTTATTAATACAATTCTAATTTTATTTCATTTAATCACAAATAAAATATTATCAAATGCATTTAAATGCACACATTGTCCTGCAAAAATTACTGGCTTTTTAAACTTTAAAAAAAATCCTGTAAAATTGATAACATAATTTGTTCATGTAAAGCTGGACAGTCGGGAAACCTTTTTTGCCTATTCTTAACAGTCAAATCCGCTTATGAGTTTCTCCAAATTCTGGTTTCTGAATAATCTGTTTTCATGTGGGAATGGATTAAAACTTGTATCGGGCTCCCTTGTGATTTTGGAATTTCAATTTGGAATTCAATTCAAAAGCTTTGCTTTTCCTATTATTATTCATTGTTATTCATCTCCCTCAATTAGTCCTGACAACACACAAGAACAATTCAAACAATCCAGATAAAATAGTTTTGTTTTTAAACACCATAGGGTGAGTATCTGGTAAAAACATCCGAATACATGGTTCACAAAAATTATTACAAACACACAAATAATACTTCGCATGTGCATATAGGACAACCTAGATTTTTGAAGCAGTGAAAAATGAATATAAAACTTGTCTTATACATGAGTAAATACAGTAAGTAACTTATGTAATATTGGAGTTACTCTAGAATTGGTTATGAAATACTTTAATTGTTATAATGAAGGGTTACATTTGAATCTTCTCTGTTTCAGAGTCTAACAACCTATTTTATGTAGAGAAATTTTTACTGCAATTAAGTATTATAAAAACTAATGTTTTCAATAATACTTCATATATATATCAAACCAAATAATATAATATAAGCCAGAATAGTGTGATCGATAGTCAAACACAGGATGTTCGAAAAGTTACTGTGCAGTGAGAAATTTGTAATGACATTAAAGTTATACATACTGCTAAGACTGGTGCTACTGTATGGGCAAACTGGGCATTTCCCTAGGGTGGCAAATTTTC